GGCTGGCATCAATGACATGGTGCTGGCAGCAGGTGGCAGTGGAGGTACTGCCAGCTGCAGTAGGGCCTGAGTGGGACTGTGGCAGGATAGTGGAGGAGGTTAGCGGGCAGCATCAGGTCAAGGCAAGTGCAAGCAAGGCCTAATCACACTGCCAATTGTCCCACAGATGGTGACAAGTGGCGGTGGCAGGGGGTGGGGCAACCACTAGTTTCCAGATGCTGAGGGAGCTGGGTAGAGTATTGATGACTCAGGTGAAGTGGGGTGAGCTGGAGCCCTGGGGCCCAGGTGTTTCCCAGAGGTCAGCTGGGACCTGCCCTTCCATGCCAGATGCTCGCACTTCAATTGTCAGCTAGTCTTAGGGACTGCAGCCATGCACGAATTTTGTGCACCGGGCCTCTAGTCTAGATACATAAAATTCTAATATGTTGTGTCCAACTGATCACTATGATGTACCCTGACCACCAGGGGGCAGATGCTCAACACAGAAGCTGCTGAGCTGCAGTGACTTGGCAGTTGCAGTTCTCGGGTGACATTCCAATACCAGAGAGGAGAGAGTCCGATTCCTCACCGGTCCCTGCAATTCCACCTTTGGTTGTGGGTTATGTTATTTCTGGGGCACCGTGGGCCCTGAATCCACACCCTGTACTATCACAACTTTGCAGTGTGCCCTCTCACACTCCAGGGCCCTTAAAGGATGTCAGAGAGCTGATTTCGGTCTGACCCCCACAGGTCAGGCAGAAGGACCCGCCTGTCAGAGGGACCCTGTTCACTTCGCAGATGCAGGGGAAGGACTGCGGGAGGTTGGCTCCAGGATGTGTCTGGCCCATCTTGCCCAGTCCTATCCTGCAGCCACCTTATAATTAATTTCCTTTCAATGTGCACAAATCCATGCACCGGATCACTAGTTTGTAAATAAAAAGGGCGCTGAAGAGCAATAGTGTTTTAAGATGTAATTAGGCCATTTTTTATTTTTTATTTTATTTATTTTTTATTTTTTTTTAATCAATCTTTATTGTTCATATTATTACAAAGGTTCCTCATTTCTTCCCCCCTCCACCAGGTTCCCACCCCACCCTCTGCCCCCTCCCCATCCCCCATTGTCCTCATCCATAGGTGCAGTTTATGTTCAGTCTCTTCTTCCCTCCCTTTCCCCAATAGTAAATCCCTTTTCAGATAGTAAATCAGTTACTTAGCATTTTCTCATATCAATAATACCTCCACATGCCCAATGATACACTTCACACAAAAGACATTTCCCAATAGGTCCACCAGCCTCATCCAGGCCCCACCCAAGGCACTCACAGATCAACAGTCCTAAACTAACTCAACACATCCAGATCTAAGCCTTCATCACTTGATTCAGCAGACCCTCAAGTTCCCACAAAAGTTTCCAGCCATGTCTGAGAAGCAGCCGTGGGGCAGGGGCAGGCAAGGAGCGAGCTGTTCTGGGCCTGGCTGCTCAGGGCCTGGCCTCTGTTGCTCTGGTTCGTTCCACAACCAGCTGCTCCGGGTCTGGTCACTGCCGCTCCTGATCTAGTTGCTCTGGACTTGGCTGCTGCTGCTCTGGGCCTGGCCGCTCCCAGCCTGGCAGCCGCTGCTCCGGGATTAGGCCATTTTTTAAAACCAATATTTTGTAATGGGTTTCTGACTCCAAATCAAATTCTCTGGAATGCGTTGATTAAAAATTTACTCTTTACTTTTAATTCTAACAGCTTAATTTGCATATTCTCTCTCTCTCTCTCTCTCTCTCTCTCTATATATATATATATATATATATATATAGATATAGATATAGATATAGATATTTATTTATATATCTCTCTCTCTATATATATAGATAGATAGATAGATAGATAGATAGATAGATAGATAGATAGAGATATAGAGATATACTAGAGGCCCAGTGCATGAAATTTGATTTGTGCACAGTGGGGGCTCCCCTCAGCCTGCCCCCTCTTCAATCCAGGACCCCTCAGGGGATGTCCAACTGCTGGGATCAGGCCTAAACTGGCAGTTGGACATCCCTCTCATAATCCTGGACCACTAAATCCTAACCACTCACCTGCCTGCCAGCCTGGTTGCCCCATGCAGCCTGCTTATTCAGTCGTTTGGTTGTCCCTCACTAAGCCCCTGCCAGCCTGGTGGTAGGCAGCCATCTTGTGAGGGCCTGAGGTTTAATTTGCATATTGCCTTTTTATTATATAGGATATAATTATTAACAGTTTTGCCTAAGCTTAACAATTTTCCTCCTTTGAGGATATTTGATGATTTTATTAGGAAGTAAAGCATGCTAGGTTTCAGTGTTTTTTTAAATTTGGAGGTTTTAAGCTTTAATTTGCAAGAATATCATTATGAGTAATGAATTAGAGTGTCAGTTTTTATTGAGTTCTTGAAAGAGAGAGAAAGGGAAAGGGGGAGAGAGACAGAAACATCGATGAGAGAAAGCATCTATTGGCTTCCTTCTTTATATTCCTTACTGATGATTGAGCCCACCACCCCAGTTTGTGTCCTGACCAAGACTCAAACCAGCAATCTCTTGTTATATGGGACAATGCTCAACTAACTGAGCCACATCAGCCAGGGCTAGATAGAGTCTGTTGTTTAAAGAAAAATTATTGAATTTTTTTTTTTTTACAGAGAGAAAGGGAGAGGGATAGAGAGTTAGAAACATCAATAAAGGGAAACATGGATCAGCTGCCTCCTGCACACCCCATACTGGGATGTATCTGCAACTAAGGTACATGTCCTTGGTCAGAATTGAACCTGAGACCCTTCAGTCCCCAGGCTGATGCTCTATCCACTGAGCCAAACCGGTTAGGGTGAGTCTGTCATTTTTGTTGTTTTCTTCATACCTTACTTTCCTCTTTTAGTGGGGCTCAAAAATTTAGCTAAAGTTTGTTATTGAAGTCAAATATTTTAATCAAAGTTATCCTCACTTATTCTTCTAGATCTAGCAATGGAGCTTAAATTATGTCTCTACATTTTTCACATTATTCTTTTCTCTCAGTAATAAAGTGAACTATTTAAAATGCAATTTATAAAGATTAAATTAAAATGTGCAAATGTCACAAACCTAAAATTGTTGATCTGTATATTCTCTTTTACAAAAAAAATAGTGAAGTTTTTAGATATTTTTACCAATAAGAGATAGAATTTTCCCTCATTTTGATTCCTAATTACATTATGTTAGTAAAAAGAAATTGTATAATATTAACCTTTTCCCCCCAATAATAATAAAACACATAATCAGATACCAGAAATCTAATACTAAAAGACCATAGACTAAATAACCCATTTCTGATTAATCCATGTATTAATTACTTTCTCTTCTTTGTCTTTCTCTTCTTTGTCTTACAGTGCTCAAGGAAATTTGATATAGTGTTTGTTATAATGTACACAGTTCTTGCTGAGGATAATGTGATTTTTTTATTCTATTTCATTCCATTCTGTTCCATTTCATTTCATTCCATTCCATTCCATCCTATATATTGATATAATTGTGAAGTCTTCAGTCTTAGGGTGTGATAGCTTGGCTATTCTAAAACTGGAGAGTATTTCTAGAGAAAATTACTATTCTTCCTTTAAAATAATTAAAAAAGATACAGAGCCACTCTAAGATGAGACTAGAAGGAAGAGAATTAAGTGAAAAGCATAGGGCAAACACAGAATCTGGGTTGGAAACATATTAGTAAGATTAAGTAAATATTAAGTTAATTTAAGTAAACCACTTTATTTGAAAGATGGAAGTAACTGAATTTCAGAGATATTGATTGCCCTAACCAGGTCATTGGCTAATTAGTGGCAGTTTTGATGAAATGCAAATCTTCATTTAGATCTCTTTTCACCCATCTCCAAATCTAAGTGAGACAAGGAGCTTCCGAACACTCAAAATGAAAATAGACTGCTGCGTAAAGTCTTTATTAGTTGGCAAAAATTTAAATATAATCAATAGAGTTCTTAGAAGTAGTGACAGAAAATGAAAATACCTCCACATCACAGATTAACATTAACATTCTCTCTATATATCAAGTGGATAACATTTATTTTTCTACTGACCAGAATTAGGGTTTGTTTTCCAGGACAATTTTGCAAAATTGATATCAGGACAGTAGTTTGACATGGTTTGCTTTGACATGGTTTGCCATTTAAAATATATGGCTAAGAGTTTTAGAAAATATTTCACTGTTGAATACATTTCACATTGAATTAATATGTTAATTGCATTAGTACTAAATTGAATTACTTGAATCAATAGTAAAATATTATGAACACCATGTGAACACACATAAAAAGTCTTAATGGTTGACAAAGTCTAGAATCAAGCACATTAGATTGAAATTAATTTAGATATAATACAATAAATGTCAATCATGAAGCTAAATAATTATATATTCTCAGAAAGAAGTGTTGGAGTCCTCATTTGTGCTTGATGCCAGATTTTCTCATGCACTTTGAATCAACTTTTCCTGTCCTTGGTTCATATTTGTGCAACGGAATTAAGGTTTAACACAATTGTTTAGAGGATATTTTTTGCCACTAATCAGTAATATAATGACAGGTCTATCTATAGATAATGATATATTTTTGTTAATTTAGAGAGACCTCATTTTATTCTATTTGTGGATTAGATAACTTAGGTGAGTTTTTGTTTAGAGGAGCAATGTAGCGAATTGATCATTTCCAACATTTAGGGAATAATAAATGGTTGGTGAATTATACAATTTTCTCTTTATCTGATGGCTGTTTCCTCCCTCAGCATGCTATCTCTATAGTTTTCACAAAGTGATGTTAAATCATGGTCATGCAGATGATTTTGTGAGCTAGAGTTTGTTTTTCTTGCTAATAGGTCATGTGAGGTGTATATATTCAAAGATTAATGATAGTGCTGTAAATTTAAGGAACATTATAATTTTACTTTGAGAAGAGTGGTGAAAGTAAAGGTAGTAGTCTGCACTCATCAATCCTATCTAATGACAGAGCACTTCACAATGTACGATGTACTATTGACTCTTTACAAGATCAGAAAGGTACTGTACTATGCTATCCACATATTGCAAGAATTGAAAAAATGCATTTTGAGTAGGAGATAAAGTTGTTTGTTCAACAGCAGGGGAAACTGTAGTCTCTGTTTGTGTTGTTGGTGTATTTGGGGGTTGTTGTGCTGATGTCATAGTTGAAGAGTCTGGGGTGTCAGTATTTTCTTCCACAGAGTTGGTGATATAATCCTGAGTAGGTTTCTCATCTGGAAAAGGAGCACTTTTGACAGAAATAGATGTGAGTGGAACTTGGGTGGGAGCCCCTGAAGTATTATTCTTAACGACGGTGCTATTTTTAACTAAACAATTATGTGGCCAGTAATGTTTTTGGATTCTGTAATTTGTGTAGTATTTGCGGTGATGAATGTGATAGACTTGTTTCTGGTCAGGTCGAAATTGAGGATAAAACAGTGGTCGGCGGACTATTATAACTCTACGAGGGCCAAAATTCCTTCTGGGATATATATTCCAGCCCCTTCTTTGACCTTCACTGACCTAAAGAAAAGAAAAAAAAATGCATTGATTTATCAACTAGGGATTCTGTTGAAGTGTGATGACCAGTAGTTTTGGGAGTAGAAGTGAGTTTGCAGTGAGTTGAGTGATTATCCTCCTAATGTCACCAACCAAATCTCAACAATGCCTTGCCATTAGAGAGTTGCCTTTTGTCAATTGTTTAATTCTTATCTCACTAGGATGGATATATGCCTGTGGGTTAAAACTTAGAGAATTAGCTATATCTGCCCTTTTTTGCTTGCATTTCTTAGCCTTCTGATAGAAAATGATCAGGTTACTGCCTGAGCAAAAGGGCTCCCCTGCTGCCATCCTTTGTCTATGAAATTTCAGTCAAAGATATTCAACTGAGATCCAGGAGTCCTTTCTTAATCACACCCTCATATCTACAACCATCAAAAAACTAAACAAAATGACAAAAACCCAAACAACCAACTTAACAAATACCTTAACTCAACTTCATAGCCTACATGTTGTAGGAAAGTTAGTGTTTAGCATTTTCAAATTAGAGAAAGAACTTTAGCTATTACCTTTTAGCTTTATCATTGTAAAATTAGAATTACAGGAAGTCAGAGATCCTTGAATCCTATGATATGGTAGAAATTTTTATTGTTTATTCATTTTGTCTAAATAGAGGTCTTATAGGTTTTATGATTTCTCAAAGGTGTCACATCTGAAAAAGATGCTGATCTTGCCCAACTGTACGTATGATAATCGATCTTTTTCTAATACACCTCCTGAATGGCTTTCCAGCCCATGTTTGACAACTTCTTCTAATTGGAAGCTCACTACTATTTTTCCCAAGGTGGCTTGCTAGACTCTAGCAGGTAGAAAGTTCTTGCTACTGAATGTAAGTTGTTTCTTGAAATTTCCATTTTTAACTGAATAGAGACTTATTTCTTCAGATTTCCATTCTTGGTTCTAATTCTATGCTTTGACAGCATAGAGAAGATACTGGAGCCCTTCAAAATTTGAAAATACCTACCATGCCATCTGGATCTATATTCTGCAAGATAAACATTCTTAGCTCTGTTAACCATAACTGACATTATTTGAGTTAGAGTACATCTCTGTTTTAGTTTCTTAAAAAAAGTGTTTTTTTAAAATTGATTTTAGAGAGGGAAGGAGAGGGATAGAAGCATCAATGATGAGAGAGAATCATTGATTGGCTGCCTTCTGCATGCCCTACACTGAGAATTGAGCCCATAACCCAGGCATGAGCCCTGACCAGGAATCTAACCATGACATCCTGGTTCACAGACTGATGCTCAACCACTGAGCCACACCAGATGGGCTGTTTTAGATTCTTATCTCTAAAAATATTGCAATTTATCTGTTTTTTTTTCTATATTTCATTCATATTAGAATTTTAAATGATCGATTATATTACTTTTTAAGCAGGGAAAAGAAATTTAACATAAGGATAAAGGGGTATCTCCCAAAGTTTCAAGCAAGAAGAGGTGAGATTTTTCCTCTCAATGATTTCTACAAGAACCCTTTTTAGACCACCAAATACATAAATCATTCCAGACCCACACTATAAAGTTTTCTCCAGAGACAGAATTTAGGACAAGCAACATGACAACTTCTGAGAGACTTAGCAGTCATCCAGCTAAGTTAGCTTCCTCAGAAACTAACACACCCAGACTAAAAAATAACTTCAGAAAGCAATTAATTGTTTAGAAACTTAAATTATCCAAAGCATTTTAGTTCTTACTCAAGAACATCTATAAGTTAAACAATGGCTTCTTATCCACATCACTTTGATATTTTTGCAAAGAACTCTCTTGAAAGAACATAGAATTCCAGAATCTGTAACTGAATCTGGTATGTTCCTCCAATCATTGAACCTCGCAGGAGATTCTGTCCATTAGAGGGCAGTAGGTTTCTGAACATAAAATACACAGGTCAACTTGTTCTAGTGAATCTTTTCCTGGAGATTCAATATGCAACCCAGATAAACACAAAACCTCTGTGATTGAAATGGCATTGAGGGCCTGCATTCCACCAGCTTAGTCCTTCTCTTCCGAGGTGGTCTCTGAGGATGGTGTGAAAAAATTTTTGATCTTTTAAAAATATCTTATTTTTAAATTTCAGTTTACATTTATTATTATTTTTATTAGTTTCAGGTGTACAGCACAGTAGTTAGAAAATAATATATTTTACAAAGTAACCCCCCTACCAGTATTTCCAGTACCCATCTGACACCACACTTAGTTACTGTAATATTGCTAGAGGCCTGGTAATAAAATTTGTGCGGGGGGTGGGGTGTCCGTCTGCCCAGCCTGCACCCTCTCCTATCTGGGATCCCTTGAGAGACGTCCAACCGCCCTTTTAGGCCTGATGCCATGGGATCTGATTCCATGGGATCAGGCCTAAAAGGGCGGTTGAACATCCCTCTCACAATCCAAGACTGCTGGGTCCAACCACTCACCTGCGTGCCTGCTTGATTGCCTCTAACCACTTTAGCTTGGCAGCCTGATCACAACCTAGCCATTCCCCTGCCAGCCTGATCGACACCTAACTGCTCCCCAGCTGGCCGAATTACCCCTAACTGCCCTTCCCTGCCAGCCTGGTCACCCACAACTGCCCTCTTCTGCTGGCCTGGTCACCCCCAATTGCCCTCCCCTGCAGGCTTGGTCCCTGCCAACTTCACCCCCCTGCATACCTAGTCACTCCCAACTGCCCTCCCCTGCCAGTTTGGTTGTCCCTAACCATCCTCCACAGCAGGCGTGGTTGCCCCCAACTGTCCTCCTCTGATGGCCTGGTCACCCTTAACTGTCCTCCCCTGCAGGTCTGGTTACCCCTAACTGCCCTCCCCTGTAGATTTGGTCTCCCCTATTACCCTCCCCTTTTGGCCTGGTCTCCCGCAACTGCTCTCCTCTGCTGGCCCAGTCACTCCTAATTGCCCACCCTGCTGGCCTGATTGACCATAACCATCCTTCCCTGCAGACCTTTTCCCTCAACTATCATCCTTTGCAGGCCTAGTCCCCCCCAACTACCCTCCCCTGCAGGCCTGGGTCCCCCCAGTTGTATTCTACTGTAGGTCTGATCCCCCTTCAACTGTCCTCCCTTGTTGGCCTATCTCCCTCCACTCCCCTCATCTGCTAGCCTGGTCACCCCCAGCTGCCCTTTCCTTCAGACCCTCTTGTGGTGGCCATCTTGTGTCCACATGGGGGAGGGGCATCTTTGGCCACCTGAGGGTGATCATCTTGTGTCTTGGAGTGTTGGCCAATTTGCATATTACTCTTTTATTAGATAGGATTCCCTATGCTGCACTTGACATTCCCATGGCTATTTTATAACTACTAATTTGTACTTCTGAATCTTCACCTTTTTCACCCAGTCTCCTAAACTCCCTTTGGCAACCATCAGTCTGTTCTGTGTCTATGAATCTATTTCTGTTTTTTTAGCTCATTTAAGAATGACTTCCAACTCTTACAGGAGCATGTTTGAAACACACTGCAGCCAATAGAGTTTTGGGTCTGTCCTGCATTTACCATTAAATAACTGAGTGACTTTGAGCAAGTCATTAATTTCATTGGATCTCAGTTTAATCTTTTAGGAAATAATTTAGATTAGGTTAAAGTCCAGATCCAAAATTATTATTGCATGACTCATATGCTTTAAAATAGATATGCTGTTCATTCCCTTAATGAACAGCATACCTATTTCAGAAAGGGGCAGGGATTTTGTTTTGTTAATCTCTGTTTGCCCAATATGTAGAATTTATACCTGACACATAACAGGCATCATTAGATATTTATAGAATGAACAAATGAATGAATTGATAATAAAGAAATTTCTTATTGAGTAAAATCTTAATACTTAAAGGTATTTATTAGGATGTGAAAAATTTTTTAGCAATTAATATTATATATGGTGTTTTAATATGAAGCAAATAATTAAAATCCTATTTTAATGTTAGGTTAGCATAGAACTTGTTTTTTTTCAATCTTCATATGAGGATAGTTTTCCCATTGATTTAAAAAAATATATTTTATTGATTTTTTACAGAGAGAAAGGGAGAGAGATAGAGAGTTAGAAACGTTGATGAGAGAGAAACATCGACCAGCTGCCTCTTGCACACCCCCCTACCGGGGATGTGCCCACAACCAACGTACATGTCCTTGACCAGAATTGAACCTGGGATCCTTCAGTCCGCAGACCGACGCTCTATCCACTGAGCCAAACCTGTTTTGGCTCCCATTGATTTTTAAAGAGAGTTGAAAAGAGAGGGAAAGAGAGATGTGAGAGAAATACATTCTAAGTGCCTCAACCAGGACCCGATATACGCTTTTGACTGAAATTGAACCCAATCAAAAATCCTTCTGTCCACAGGTCGATGCCCTATTCACTGAGCCAAACCAGCTAGAGTGCATAGAACTTGTATCAAATACCCAGCTTGACTAATTATTATGATTGATAGTTATAGATGCCTTTAACAAAACTTGTTGATTAGAATTGGGTTTAGGCAAGCTTGAGAGGGGGAGGAGTAGAAAATGCCTCTAAATGTTTGAACTTAATGACTGAAGCATGGAGGTGCTGAGAATAAATATGGGTAAGCTAGGGAAAATGTGTTAAACATATCCTTATTTGGCTGTTCACATGCTATTTATATTTGTAAAAACATTCTTATATAGCACTTATTTTGTGTCAGGTTCTATTCTTAGGTGTTTTTTCTTCTCCCCCCCCCCCCCCTTTTTTTCTTTTTCTTTTTTTTTTTCTTTCTTTCCTTTTTTTTTTTTTTTTTTTTTTTTTTTTTTTTACAAACATGACTTTATTTCATTCCTTAGCAATACCATAAGGTGAGTACTATTATTATCCTCATTGTACAGATGAGAAAACTGAATCCCAGAGAGATTAAGTAAGTTTTAGGAGAAGGTGTGTCCATAGGTAAACCACACTTTTAGGAGAGTGGTGGAAGAGAGAAAGAGGAGGTGAGGAGTGAGGGGGGAGTGGGCTGGCGTAGGGAGGGAGAGGTGTAGAGAGGCACGTGACACCTGGAGCAAGAAAGAAAGGGTAGGAGGAAGCTGAAAGTTTCCAAAATAACTAGAGGAATACTAAAATTTGGGAGTTGAAGGAGGAGGAAAAATCAGGCCATAAAAAATATAGAAATAATCAGAAAGAAAGAGAACTGGAAAAATACAAGGTCAAAATGGCATATACTTGAAATTAGAAAGCACATTAAATGTCTTCATTTTGGGTTACTAGCCTATTTTTATGATCATTTGAAAACCTGTAATCTCTTTTCCAAAGAAGAAGGAAGCAATATATTTAAGTAATGTTTAACAGAGCTTCTATCTGATTCCAGAATACATCCCCTCAGTCTGTTTAGAGGCATCTGAAAGAAAGCAACCAGACTATATGCTCTCTAAAATCATTCCATACAAGCACAGGATGTTATAGTTAGAACTCCAGGGCTGATCTCCGATTGCGAGCTGGTGCCACACTCTGGTACATTCATTTTCAAAGGACCAAGTCAAGGTATTCCTGAGCTACCTCCCCATATTCAAAGCCTTTGGAAGTCCTTTCTCTCACTGGAAGCAATGGGGAATTGGGCAGTTTTATTTTTCCTGTACTGTGGAAGGGATGGCTCATTAAGTGCATGGATTTATAGGCAGCACCTTGAAGGGCCTCCTTAAAATAAAAACCGGGTTTTAGTCATTCCACAGTCACACAATGATTTGTGTTGATTGGAATAACATTTCTTTCCATCTAGAGGTTTTTAGTAATCAAAATAGTAAAATTTGACTTATTAAAAAGCTAATACCACCAGGCATATTCGACTTGAAATTCTTAACAACTAGCATATAAATAGAAATTACAATAATCTTATAGTTAAAATTTTTACATTTATGCAGTGCTTTACAATTTATAAATGCATGTGTTCTCACTTTTCAACTGCCTAGTGAAGCATATACTGTTATTCTATTTTCACATTGGGCAGTTGGGGTCCTATGGGTACATTTGAAACTCAGGTTCATCTGGATATTCAGAAGATAAGCCTAAACTCACATCTTCTGAGCCCAATTTCTGTGAACTCTTTGCTACAGTCACAAAAATTAGCATAAGGTCCAGGGGAAAACTACACACACATACACACACACACACACACACACACACACACACACACACACACACACATAATATTCTGAGGCTATTCAGCTTCATGCAACAAATCTACATTCTACTTCTTGATTCTTCTTTCAAATTTGTCCAAATAAAAGTGAACAAATCATATAGGTATAGTGCCTTAGAAGCAAATATGGTTACTTATTGCACCATGTATCACCTTGAAGCATTACAAATTTTAATATTCTTTTCCCAGCTGACAGTAAGTATCTTAAAGACAGAGTTCATTTTGTAATCTCTTTGTTTTTGAAACCATGCTTTCTTGTTCCCTTTTGTGGTTCCTCCATTTTCTCTATCCAATCTCTTTGGGCGATCTTCTAAGGTCCCATGTTTTCATATATGTTCTAAATACAGACTTCACCCCTTGACTTCTTTTTGAACTCCAGAAATCAATATTTCTGATTGTCTCTTAACATCTTGTAGAAGTCTAATAGCCACTTCAAATTTAACATAAGTGAAACATAACTCTTTTGTTCATTTCTTTCTTTTACTATACTCCAAAATGCAGCAGGAGTTATGGTAGACTTAAACACTAAAATATACCCTCATGGTTTGTTGTAATTGCTGACATTTAGTGCAAGTCACCATTTTCTCTTATGTGAGCCACTGCTATAGTTGCTTGACTGGGCTTTACCTCAATTTTTGTCTCCTACAGTTCACTTTCTCTTCAGACCCAGAGTTATATCACTGCCCTATGGACACCGTAATTATCCTGAGGCTTTCTAATCTATGGAGGACTCCATGTTTTACACCAATGGGGCCCTACAGGATCTGTTTTCTGCATTTCCATCTGATCCCATCACAACCATGTTAAAGGTGGTGCTACATCAATGTCAATTAAGTGAAACAAATAATTTCCTTTTGGATTAATTATCCATTGCCTGATGTGCCACAGAAAATAAAAGATATCAAGCTGCTTGGAAATAGAAAATTGCATATTATACTTTTGAAGTCTCAAGTTTGTTATTGATACACAAGAATAAAAGTTGTTTGGGTGGAAACTTACTTTGAAGCAAGCACTGAATGCACAGATGCACACTAGCAGTGGCAGAGTTTTCATCTTTTCCTGTTGGTTCCTAGAAAAAGCAGAAGAATGAATCACTATTAGTTATATTATTGTGGAACAGGGACACATTTTGGTAAATTACTAATTTTTGTTAGAAAGTAGAGTTTAAAAGAGAGAAATTGTTTCTGAAAATGGTTTACCTGTCTACTCCATCGTGGTAAGGTAAAATTCAAGCTAATATACATTTATTTTTTGGAGAAAGCAATAGAACAAAGTCAAAAAAGTCTTATTGTAATTAACTTGAATAAACATTTTCCACTGATACTACAGATTGCCTAGAAAGGGCAAGATCTTAAGAAGTTTAGCAATAAGAAAGGAAATAATTTTATTCTTTTTTTCTATTCTAATTCTAGAAGCTTCCTGTTAGGTGAACCATTATATAAACTAAATGATATTTACTAAACATTATTTTGTAAATGTTTTATAATATTCTTTTATTATTATTTTTTCATGACTTTCTTTTAAATAAGGCATATGCTTCTTGTTTCTATGTTCTGAGGCTGTTACCGTGTTTCTCCGAAAATAAGACATCCTCCGAAAATAAGAACTAGCGCATGGAAAGATAAGACATCCCCTGAAAATAAGACCTAGTGCAACTTTGGGAGAAAAAATTAATATAAGACACTGTCTTATTTTCAGAGAAACAGCATACTTAGGACAAACACTTTTCAAGCAGACTTGTCCTGAAACTTCATTCTACTGAAGATTTTGCCATTTGATGCCCTTTTGCTAAGTTTCTAAAGAACAAGAATCATGTTTCATTCATTTTTATATCATCATGCTTAGCATATTGTACAGATTTAATAACAAATTTAAAAAATAACTACTTCCAAAATATAATTTTACTTTTTGGCTATGTATTGTAGCAGGGGAGGATTAAAGAAAGACATGGCCTTTTATTTTTCTTATTCGATCATGTATACAATATATATATATATCAGATTGACTTCAGAAAAAATGAGGTTATGTTATTATCTAGACAGAGTATATATTAGGGCAAGTAAATTAGATACACCTCATAATATAGCCTTGTGTTTTATCAAACTGGTATTAAAGTCAACCATGCTTGTTTTAAATCCCAGCCCTGCTACTTAAGATGTGACTTTGAGTGAGTTGCAATTTTACATGCTAAGATTGCCATGAGGACCAACTGAAATAATATAAATTACAAATTGTACTGAGGACAATGTGCAGTCCGTGGTAAATTCTTAGTGGTGGTTATGGTTATAGTACTAGTATACCAAGAAGAAAAGTATCTTGTCCAATTGGAGAAAGAAATTCTTATTTTATCAAAGTACTAACATACTATCAGATTGTCTTCTTTCATTGTCAAGATTAAACAGTATTCCCCACAGATAATATTTTTTTCAAATAAACACAGGAGTTAGCCTGCTGTGATGTAGTTTAACAGTTCACAAAATGAAAAAAGAATATTAGTACAACGACTGCTGTTTCTCTCTCTCTCTCTCTCTCTCTCTCTCTCTCTCTCTCTCTCTCTCTCTCTCAATATCTATATCTATATCTATATCTTATCTTAAAAGCTGCTTAGTTTACATTAAAATATATTAGTCCCCAATACCTCTAAAATATTCATATACCTGGCTTGGTGTGACTATTTCTTCTTAGGTTGCTCTGTCCAGTTGATCACCTTCAGCTGATCCTTTTGGGATAGTACCTGGAAGCAAAAGAGAAGAAAGCACAATAGGATTTTCAGGTTTTATAGTTTTCCACTTGAGTTTTTTTTGAGTGTGTGTGAAATGGGAAATTTGTTAGATTTAGGATAAGGTTACTTCTATCAAGGAATATGACTTCAAAGACAAATAAAGGGTTGTAATTTGTTGAGGTTGACAGTAGCCCTTTTGTGCATCAGTTTCTTCCCAATGAACATAGTGTCATTAAGAGGTTCTCAATGAATAATTTACTTGATTGATAGTAGTGTGATAGTGATTGATGACATTTAAGTAGACTCCAACAACTGCGGCCCACATCTTCCAAACAGGAACAGATCATCCACCCTTTCCGGGTGCCTCTCGGAGTAAGCAGAGGGAGTGCCCTCTGACAGTTCTGGTGATGGAGCATCAAGAAATATGATGTAGCAAAGGGCAGATTAAAAAAATAACAAGATACTAAATACTCTAAACAATTGCTTTAAAGCTGAAAGATAAACATTTATTTTTTTAAATATGTAAAATTTTTTAAAATTTGATTTTTATTTAGAAAAATATCCAAACATACAGAAGAGTGAAGAGAGTAGTATATATAGAACACAACCCTCATTCTCTCGATTTCACAGTTGTTTACATTTTGCTTTATATGCTTAACATTGATTGTTTTACTGAAATATTTTAAGGTAAATTACAGAAATTAAGATAGTTAAACTGTAAATATTTCAGTATTTACCTCTAAAAATTCTTTGTTTTATAACATAACACAAGTAACAACTAACAACATTAATAATTCACATATAAGCCTAAAACTCAGTTTATAGTAAAATTTGCTGAATCTTGCCGAAAGTATTCTTACTTGTTTTGCTTTAACTAGGACTCAAATAAAGACCATACATTATATTTACTTGTTATGTCTCTATTTTATTCTAGAACATTCTTCTCTCTTTCCCCCAATGATATTGATCTCTTTTAAAAAATATATATTTCATTGATTTTTTACAGAGAGGAAGAGAGAGGGATAGAGAGTTAGAAACATCGATGAAAGAGAAACATCAATCAGCTGCCTCCTGCACACCCCCACTGGGGTTGTGCCCGCAACCAAGGTACATACCCCTGACCAGAATTGAACCCGGGACCTTTCAGTCCGCAGGCCGATGCTCTATCCACTGAGCCAAACCGGTTTCAGCTGATATTGATCTCTTGAAAGTGTAGACCAGTTGTCTTATAAATACTTAGAAATAAATTTAAAAACAGTTTTTCTAAAGGTTCCAAAAATTAAATATTTCTACTATATAAAATTGTTGAACTGGAATACAATGTTAAAGATGTAAAAATAAATAACATTCGATAATTTAAAGGGTCTTATATTGTGCTTCTAAATTATAGGCTCTCAGCTATTGAATTTTTATCAGTGGGAAGAAGTTTTGATATAGCACTTAGTAGATATGGGTCATAATATGAAATACTTTCCCTCTTTTTTCTTTTTTTGCTAATAACCTGTGATATATATTTATTATATGCCTGTTATGGACAAATTGTGTAGTAGAATTTTTATTGATTTAAACCAAAATTTTCTGAATTCATGGCTTCATTAGAACAATTCTCAAATCACCTTAAGTTATTGCTCACTTAGTTGATTATAATAACCTAATACATTGATAGGATTTTCAGAAATTTCTAATTATTTCCATTCTTGAGTCACACCTGAAAGCAGCAGGTTCAATTTTCTTTAAATATTGGGAAAGCATAAGAATAACTGAATATATTATAATTTGATCTAGTGCCTTTCAGGTCTTATTTTCCAATAAATAATGAGTATCATTTATACTTCTAATGTTCTTGCAGTTGGCATTTTAGGAACTCATGAGCATGCTGCAGCATATATACACATTTAGCCTTAAACTATGGAAATTACTAACATACAGACTATAAATCAGCATTAGGTTATAGTATTTTAATTTAGCACTGGGTGTTGGGACAAGGGGCATAACATGATAACCTTAAAGTGTATTTACTGCTCACTGAATTTTGATTTACTGCAATAAAAAGATACAGCTGATTTTATGCTCTTCACTGCCCTCTCACCTTCACATCAAAATGCTTTATAGATGGGGAAAAAGTTTCTTATCTACTTCAATCTGGATCAGATGTTGGTTAATTGAAAAATCCATTAAAGCAGAATTCATAGTAGAAGGTTTTTATTAACTCCCCCCCTACTGTTTCTCAGTCCCATTGATTTTTCAGATTATTTTATACTTTTTAATCCTTTATAAAACCTAATTAAAATATGGAGAACATTTATTATTTCACTCAGTGCATTAAGACAGCTGTATCAATACAAATTTTAGATTTTTTGGGTACAATTTAAAATCTATTTAAAAAAATTAAATTTGTTAGTTGACTTCCTTTAGTTTTTAGAAGGCCTTTGCAGAATGAGAGTCTATGGACTTCACTTTCAGGTTTAGATGAATAATCTGAATTTAAGAGTATGAGAATTTGGTAATGGCACAATGGAAAACTGACCTGGTGGAAAGCCCTGTCTCAGCCTTGGCTAGCTTTGTTAGGGATCATGTAATCTAACTTACGTCTGTATATTCAAGAAAAAGGAAAGAGAATGATGTTCACCTTCTTTCATTTTGACTTACTGCTATTATCAATCCTAATATTTTAATGTGCCTCAAGTCTTTTTTCCCCCAAAGTACTTCCATAGTTCATAATTATCAATGATCTAGAACAATCATTAGAAGCAAATACAGTGTTCTGGAAATCTGTTGGGGACACTCATTTTTCTTAATGCAACAAAGCCAGTGGACTAACAATGGATAATGGCGACATTGAAATTTTCTCAATACTTCTTTCTCTAAGTATGTTTATTATGGGAAGGTTAGATAAATAGTTTGTACTTCCCAGTAAAATGCCTCATTTGGTATTTTCCATTTCTCCCACATAAGTTAGCTCATCAATCTTCCTTTGTCATGACTATACCTTTTGTGTCAGCTATGTACCTCTGGCTTCAGTTTTATAAAACTAATCCTTTTTAACCTGGAGATCATTTTCTACTCTTCTCCTCCTCCTCCTCCTCCTCTTCTTCTTTCTCCTCCTCCTCCTCCTCCTCCTCCACCTCCTCCTCCTCCTCCTCTTTCTTCTTAATATTATTTTTTTGAGGTTTCATTTTGATTATTTCTTTTGGTTTGAGTTTGGCAAAATCTCAGCTAAATCATTCCTTCTTAATTGAAAGAAATTAAAATTATTTTTGTAATTACCATGTCTGGCTCTGGAGTTTTAGTCCTACTCTAACGATGGTATTTTGTACTGAAGTAGGAGACA